TGAGAATACTTATTACTATAATTGCTAGAAATTTTGGCAAATTGCTAAATATTGCAAAGCACCCAAGAATACGAATCCCAAAGGCGATAAGGAACATGCATATGTAGTACTAGACCCTCAAGTAGAGTCATAGTATTTTGACTTAGGGTCCACTGCTCATGTGTCAAACACTAAGTATGGATATAGAAATTTTCAGCCAGTTGCCCTTGGCAATCAAAATATTTATACTGGTGGAAATCAAAAGACAGAAATTCTGGGTATTGGAGGTTTCGTCATTCAACTTGAAAAAGGCAAGAACATGATCCAAAAGCAAACTTTTTATACTCTCGAGATGAGAAAGAGTTTGGTTTCGTTCTCTAAATTGGCTAAGCCATACTACTTCACTATTTTTAATGGTAATAAGGTGAAGGTGAAATATGGAGATGAATTAGTCATGAATGATCATCTTGTTGAAGGTTTCTTTTTAGTAGCAATAAAGAATTTTATTTCTTATGTCTCATGTTATAATGATAATGATGATGCGTATATATGGCACAAATTCTAAAAGGATGGGGAGATTTAAGAGAGACGGATTATTGAGTACTCTAAATGAAGACTTAACTAGAGTCTATGAATAATGAGTTCAAGGAAAGCTGGTTAAAAAATCCTTTGCAAAAAGCTCAGAGAGCTACTGGAATTTTTAGAAGTTATTCGTAGTGATATTTGTGGACGTATAAATGTGGTCACTAAGGGCTTAAGAAATCCTTTATCAAATATATAGATGATCACTCCCATTTAGTCCATGTCTATCAGTTAAGTGAAAATTCTGAAGCTCTAGATCGGTTCAAAGAGTATAAAACCGAGATAAAAACCCAAACAAAAGTAGATCTTAAAGTTGTTAAGTCCGTCTTCATAGGATACCCACCAATGGTAATCACTCCCATTTAGTCCATGTCTACTAGTTAAGTGAAAATTCTAAAACCCTACATCGGTTCAAAGAGTATAAAACCGAGATAAAAAAACCTAAACAAAGTAGATCTTAAAGTTGTTAAGTTCATCTTCATAGGATACCCACCAATGGTAAAGAATACCATTTTTTCTATAATTCTAACTCAGGGGCTCGCCTTAAGAGTAGGGACGCTCATTTCCTTGAGGAAGAATTCCTTAAGGGTTGTGTCACTCTAAACCAAGCCAAGTCTCATGGGATAGAAAATGACAAAAGTAAGGCCATGGATCGTGAACCATCTCATCTTAGGAGACGCAACCAAATTACGAGAAAACTTAAGTTCTTCTCCTTTTTAGGAAAATATTATGAGAGAATTGAAGAAGAACACCTATATGAACCTTGATCCTACCAAAAAACCAAACCATGAGAACTATTTTATATATGTCAAGATCAGTGGGAGTTTATATGTGGATGACATGTTAATTGCTAGTAGTTCAATGAGTCTCGTATTTGAGACAAAATCTTTTTTGTCAGAACATTGTGATATGAAAGATCTTGGTGAAGCATCATATGTTTTAATAGTCAAAATTACACGAAACAGAAAAGAGATAACTATACAATTATTTCCAAAGACATATTGTAAGAAAATTCTTGAAATTTCTGAAATGGAAAATTGCCGACCCATATTAACCATTATTGATAAGAAGGTCAAGCTTAGCCTAGTCATAAATCCCACTACTTATGAAGAAAAGGAAGCCATGCAGAGAATTCCATAAGGAAGTGCAGTTGGGTCACTAATACATGCTATGTCAAGGACAAGACCATTTTTTTTTTTTTTTTTATGAGTATTGATTAGCAACTTCCAAAGTAATTCAAACATAAAGCATTGGAAGGTCATCGAAAGAGTACTACAATATTTGAAACGAACCATTTATTATGCACTCACTTATAGAGGCGGCTCGGATTTATAGATGCAAGGACATTTAGTTGTGGACTATCACAGCGATCCAGATGAGAGTAAGTCCATATCTGGATATATCTTCATGCATGCAGGTGAAGTTGTTTCTTGGTGTTCAAATAAATATGATATTATTGTACTCTCGACTATAAAGTCAGAGTATGTGGTATGTTGTTTCGCGGCTAAAGAAGAAGTCCGATTGAAGAAGTTCTTGAATCAACTTTGATTTAATCCAATAAATTGCATGTGTATTAGAATCTTATGCAACAATCAGTCATCTATTTGTGTGTCAAAAGAGCTAAGGTTTCACAGAAAATCAAGACATAAAAAGCCGTGCTACTATCACATTTGCAATGTGATCCGAGCAAAAGATATTCAAATTGCATATCTCCCGATTGAGGCCATGTTAACGGCCTTTTTGGCAAAAGCATTAGTAGCAAATATTTTTGCCAAACATGTACATGGGATGAACTTGAGAAAAATTGAGAGGGAGTGATTGTATGGTCCTCAAGGCAAAATGGGAGATATGGGTTTAAAAGCCTCGAGAGTTTGTAAAAACGATATTTATAATGGAACGTGCACTTCAATAGGAGTATGTGTTAACTAACCAAAAATTTGATGGTTTATGGCCTTGGTCATGTCCAAAATCGTTAACCCTGTATATGTGGTACAACCGAAAAGAGTCTGTAATGGTTCATCACTTGTCGAGGTCGAAAAGATGCCCAGGGATAATATTTGTAAGCCAAAAAAACTATGTAGTCACCTGTGTGCAATTGTATGTTTGAGAGAGCAATGGCCAAAACCGCAACAAACTTTCACGACATGTATACATGACAGCCGCATAGGCGTGTCTCTTTTTCCCCCAAAATTGACTCATTTTTTGAAAAATGCTTCAAATCACACCTATTTAAACTCATTTTTTTTAATCAATTTTTTCCCGTAGGGATCTTCTCCTAGCCCCCTTTAATATCCACAAACAAACGCCTTTCTATCCAAACCATTTAAGAGTTGGTCTGATTCTCATCTTGTTTTCTTAATTTCCCTCTCATCGTTTCATTAAATTGATGGAATTTTGTTACAAAATATTTCTCTCTTATATAATCAATAATTTGATTTAACTCGCTTTGGTTGTATTTGTTCTTCGACATATTGAATCAATTTTAAATCTCATCATTGACACACATATCAACGCTTCTTAGAACCAATATTGCACCCATTGAGTGTCCAATAGTGGATCCATTTAGACACATTTCTTTTTTTTAGACTGTGTAGAAACATCATTTTTCAATGAAAAACCTTTTTTAAACATAAAAAATGTTTTAGAATAAAGAAAAAATAAAAAAAAAAATTTGTCTATGTATACAATGTCAACTTTTAAACACAAATTCTTTATAAAATATTTTTCCATGTTCAAAATATAAAACCTTATATTTTCAGTTTTAAAACAGTGACAATTGTATGCGCTTATATTAGTCAATTTTGAAATGCCTAATTTACACGAGTGAAGTTCAAAAAGTTGTCCGTGTTACATATGAAAATTTTCTTGTATACATGAGTCAATTTTGAAAACTTCTATTATTATTTTGTCAAAACAAAAAAAATGTTTTTATAATAAATTAATAATAAGCCTAACGGTTTCTATCTCTTTTCATGTTGTTATAATGCAACGTTGGAATAGACTACAAATAATTTTGATGAATGAAATTTAAATTCATAAAGCAACAATTTTTGGTCTGTGAATTTAATATAAATTTTGTGATGCATATTATTTGGTATACGAATATCTCATATCTAACTGCTTATGTGAACTGCACATAGCACTCGAAAAAAAGAATTGTACATAATTTTCAATTAATGTATATACACACATATACTCCCACATATTATCCAGACATATCATGTCTAGATGACAATTTCTGGAATTCACATTTTTAACACTCACACATGGGTAACAAATAGAAACATGTCTCTTTCTACGTAAAATAGGCCATCACTTCTTTAATTTCCTCAATTATTTTTCTAACAGATTCTGTTGATTCATCATTTCCAAACTATTTTTTAATCAATCTTCAACATTGTCATTCTATTGTCCCGCAAATTTTTTTCTTTTTCAATGGATCAGCTTTATCCAAATTGAAACAGGACTATGCAACTCAAAACCAATGGGTGATCAATTCGAAAAACCAATCCATTAACATGATGATTTTCATAATCTAAAATCTATAACGCTCATTCACAATTTTAATGACCTGAAATTTTTTGGATCACCAAATGAGTATTTTCAAAAAAAAATAAATGAAGCGGTTTTGGGTACTAGTTCTAAACAAAAACAAGTCTCCCATATTGACGGATATTCCCTTTAGATAACACGGAAGGACTAAGCTCGTTCTATTCCTTTACAACCATTCTTTAAACCTTAAAATACCTAAAATATCATACATCTATTACAACACTATTGTACCTGGTTTAAGAGATTATTAATTAACATTAAAAAAATAAAGAAATCCATTAACCTAAATTATAAAATTGTATAAGGTTGCAATCTTATACAATCAAGTAAGGCACACCTTCAAACCCTGGCCATCAAATGCAGTTTGGTGTCAAATTTTTAAAATGATCCAAGATTCTATTTACATCCCCAATTATAATGTGTTGCAACCATTTTAAGACTTGGAGACCTTTTTTTCGATATCCACACATCTCGATGTTTAGATAATCAATTATATGATTTTCCAATTTCAAAATAATTGTCTTGTGGTACACCTTAATTCTACAATGTAAGATATCAACCTTCTATGTGCTTTTTCCTTATATAGCAGCCACATTTCAAATCAGAAGCAGCCCCTGACGATATGATCAGTCTTAATGGAACATTGAACATTGCTTTTTGTAGAGAGATCATAGACTATTGACCGACAAGCCCAAGTCCAAGGCGTATTATAACAAATTAAAAAAGCAAGTCATGGAAGAGAGTTCTACAAGGACATCCACCCTCCATTCCAAACAGGCGGTGTAAACAGAACATAACAAACAAGTGAATATCATCAAAACTGCAGCTGATGATAAAAAGTACGAACTCAAATTTTTAGGTCTCAACAGAAGTGGGGACACAGATCATCTAGCCAGGTATAAATTCATGCTGATTTAAGGAGCCAAGGGGCTCTTCGAGTGCTACATCATGGTTGTTGATTTATATAGAGGGAAAATCTATACAACATAGAAGGGCTATTGCCGTGTCCTAAGAGAAAAATAAGAAACACAGCACAGCCGTCTACAATGCCTTAAAAAGGCATACAATGATATATAATACGAGACACAGACAGAGAGACTATACGTGTAGGGATGACATAAGCAGATTTTTAACTGAATGTCCTACCCAAAATCCTGGTCTACCATCTACAAATATATGGGAACAGAGCTTTTCCATGCTCATGTTAACCATCAACTTTAATTACCCAAAAAAATGTTAACCATTAACAGAGAATTAGTATCACAACTCTTGCCTCAAAAAGAGCTTTTTTACCATCACTTCCGCTTCCTTCCCTACAAAAATATCAGATGACAAAATCAGAATAAAAAACCAGGCAATCACATTAGCATCTGCCAAAATTATCAGAAAGATTAGTCTTCTGCTTTTTGACAAATGGGTGTCCAAAAACTTTGAACTAAGAAAACACCATAGCAACAAGTTATTCTTCTCCTCAACTAAAGAAATTCTTATAAGAATACCCAAATAAAATGAACGAATCTACACTGATAAAGAATCTTTGAAATGCCTTGAAAGCCCATAGGACATAGAAAACTACCAACCACTGCCTTGATATATAAGAGTGCAAAATAGCCTTCCCAAACTGATAAAAAGAAATCAGAAAGGCATTCAACAAGCAAGATCACAAAGTTTACTGAGACTGCAGTCTTACCGAGCTCAAGTAGTCATCCATCATTGCCTGCTTCCGTTTCTTCGCAGGCTCCAAGGCCAACTTTGATGCAGATCGCTTCGTTGGTGTCAGATTCTGAATGCAAAACACATTTTACAAGGTAGAAGAGAATTACGCTTCCTAAAGCGGATGAAGAATCACGTAGAATTACGTAATGAAAATCAAAAAACTAGACTCACATAACCAGCCATCTTTATTACTACATGAGTTTAAAACGTGTAAGAGACAAATAATAATAACAAAAATAATAATAATCACCAAATTACAGCCATGAATACATTATCCAGAAAACTGCATATTTATCATGGTGTCAATACTGCCAAAACCATAAAAAAACTATACAAAAGATGTAGGAAAAGTATATACCATATGGACTGTCTACTTTTTGTACAAGGAGATTACAATCACTCTCTTTCATCGGATTTCAAATCAAGTGGTTGTGAGTGTATAGTTGACTAGAATCAAGGTTCACAAGGAAATTTCTATAACTTTGTAAAAGATACCATCCAATTTGACATCTGATGGCTAGGAGTAATTAATTGCGACATCATTGTAACAAAGATACTTGGTCTCATAGTAAAAAATCCCAAGATGCAAGTCATTTGATTCTGAACCTGCAGTCTTTCTAAATGTTGCAAACTAGTGATAACATCAATGAATTTTATTGAAATATCCCACTATTCTCTCATATGAGTAAAAAGTAAATCACATAACTATCACGATTCAAGAACAGCACCTTGGCTGCAAGCTTCTTGTCTTTTCTTGCCTGTCTCTCTCTCTCATCATATTCTTGATTCTCCCTCTCCACCAACCTAATCAGAGTATCACAACGCCGGGCAAGTTCTTGAACAGTACGGGACTTCACAAACCAATCAAAACGGAAAAGCGGGGATGTCCGAAAAGCAGCCTTCAGCTCATCCCAATTTCCATAACCAAGTTTGTGAACCATGCATAACTATAACACAAAACAAAGGATGATAATTATAATGGCCATAGATACAAAATAAAAACAATGTCTAAACCCATAACAAAGAAAATCAAAAAAGAAACTGTACCATATAACGATCACATTCTTCATTGTATAGTTTCCCTTTGTTCTGGCCATATTGAATCTTCAGTTCCAGCCATGGATTCTTATATCGATCCAACTTCTTACCAATTGCTTTCATGATCTCATCTTTACGAGATATTCGTGCTTCTCCCCTCTCAATATTTTTAATTATCCTATCATAATCTGCAAAACAAAGAACAATTGATATGAAAACTAAAAATAACAAGCAAACAATAGTCGCAATACTATGAATAATAATAATAACAAACAAAACCAAATTCACAAAAACAGCCAAAAAAAATTTTAGGCGCAGTGCAAAAGAAGAAATGAGCTAGAGTATCGCACATCTAAGTCCATGGGTTAGACCAACTATGCATATTTAAACAGTAAAATGTGCCATCCCATGGCCTATTTGGTACTTATAAGCATGTATATCTGAGGTAATAGGCATGTATCGATGCAAATGCACAAGCCAATGGGCATATGCACACACATAGAGATGTCCATTTATGCGATTGTATCTTATTGCTGAAAAAATAAATAATTAGCAACCTAAAATTCAATTACAACTATGATAGACCATGGTTGGGCCTAGACTACGAAACCCATTCCAGACTTGGGTGTCCAAAGAAACATTTTGCACCTTTCTCCAAGGCTAAACTACTGCCTTTGGCTTTTATCAATATCAATGAGCTCAACGAGGTCCAACCATCAAATCCCATCATACAATTTGCAATAGAAGGAACTAGGATAATTTTGATTGGCAGCACAAGAGCCCAACTCAGGTACAAACTATTTGGCACCTCAAAAAACCCAAATCAAAAAAAGGAAATAGCTTAGCAAGAACAAATCTGTAAAAGAAGTATATTTGTAGATTCATGTTTGCATCAGTGAAGTAAACAACAACAATAATAACAGCTTAGCAGAATGCTTTACCATTTAACTCCCGGAATCTCTCTTTGAAGACCCTTGCATATCTCTCCACTTCCTCTTCTGTTTTTCCTTCCATCTCAGAAGCGATGCCTTTTATGTCATTACGGCCATACTTTTCACAAGCTCTAATGAATGTATTGAAGTCCCTCCTTGCCCAGGTAGAAAATCCCTGAAATCCAGAGGTAGCTAAGTATCTGAAGGTAAATAGAAAAATATCCCAAGTGTACACAATTCACCCAACTTACCTCTTCCAAAAGTCGCTCCTTTTCTTCCTGCTCCTCAGCAGTGAGCGGTTCACCTACTTCTGAATCATCAATTCAGGGCTTGTCAGAACACAAAAGTAACAAAGTAGGCCTTGAAAACAAAATTGAACACAAATGAACATACCTTCAACATCATCCCCTTCCCCAATTGTGTCCTTCAGTTGATTTTTCTGATGGGTTATCTGTATAGGTTTTAGATTAGATCAAGAAACCATACATATACAATGAAGAGCTAGTCATAAGAACAAGACGATAACTAGGGAAAGGCGTGCTGAATATTAAACTAGTATTATATTTTAATATTCCCGTATAAAGCAGTAGCAATCTAAGGGAGAGATAAGGTGAACTAAACAAGGATATCCGAGAAAAGTAACAATAGAATAAATATGGGGCATTAAATTTGTGCAACCGTGCAGGACAGGAGCAAGGTCTCAAACAACACATACCATGAGATAGCGTACTTCTTTCTCATATAAGTCACTAAGACGTTGGGTGTTAAAGAACTGGAAATCGTGCCTGGATCAACTCACAAGGAAAATAAAAAAATAAATATGAACTTGTGCTAACATAACTGCACTGGAAGACTCAAAAACACAATCACAGGAATGGAGTTCCCCAAAAGCTTGGTGAATTCCCTCAAATATTTTAATAGCTTAAAGCACCTAGTCAGTTGCAGAAAAACTGTATAACTATGCTTACAACTGTGGCATGCGAGGAATACGAGGCTCTCTCGGTTTTGCTGGACCCCCTTGTCGCATTGCTTGCTTGAAATAATCTGACTCCGAATAGCTTAAAAAAGGAAAATGAATAGAATTAGATGATTCTCAATTAAATGCACAAAAGAATAGTTCTAAAACATCAGTGAATGAGTATGTTCACAGAGGTTATAAATCTTACTTGCGCTTGCGCTCACGTTTAGGGGGCTCAATCCAGTTGTCACTGACAAGTTTCTTAAAATCAGCCTTGTTTTCCTCCTTGCCAAATTAAACCAAAGCAGCACAATTAGTCGCAGTTGGAGTTCATTGCTATTATTTTGTATCACCAAACAATGGTACATATGAAAATAGAGAAAACAAAAGACTTCAAAAAGAAATTTCTTCATACCTTTTCATCACCAAAATCATATAGATCAGCAGCTGCAAGAAAAACCGGTATTGTTATCAAGTGTCTCGAGAAACATATTCAGCGAAGACATTGGAGAAATAGACCGGTATGGATAAGTCACCAGGAAGTGGACAGGTTAAATAAAGTAAACTACTTAATGTTTAACAACATACTATCATCCATCTTGAACTTGATGGCATCTTCTGTAAATTTCTTCATTTTTGCATCAAGTTCTGCTGTTGCCTCTTCTCCCTTGGCTATAATTCTGTCTATATCCTCATCTGTTATGGTGCTGTCCTTGGAACTGAAAACCATCTCCGCACCAAATCTTACCATTTGCAGCAGTTCATCCTTGTTCACGGCTGCACCAGAAACAAAAGAAACACAAATAGAGATGCACAATTCATTATGAAACAAAGCACTTCCATGGAGACCATAAAAGCCTTCATAAAACAGTAAGAGACAAGGAGATCTGAAAAGAATAAAAGAATGAACACACTTACTCTTCTGCTCAGCTAGGCGACCTTGTTGGATAACTAAAGCATCAAGTGCAAGCTTTTTATAGGCCCTCTCTATCACCTTCTCCTCAATGGTATACTGTGGTATTCATGGAACGAAACAGGGAAATACAAAGTTATTGCATGAAAGTGGTAGATATGATTAAGTTTATTCAGACATAGCTCATCCTAAAGAGACAAACCTCAGTGCAGAATCGGAACACTTGAACTTCTTTCTTTTGGCCAATCCGATGAGCACGATCCTGAGCTTGTAGATCTACCTGAGGATTCCTGATGCATGCAACATAACATTATCTTCGAATCTAAGATAGAAGAAGCAACTTGCAATGCAGAAGCATCGTGAGGCAGTAGCATACCAATCACTATCATAGAGAATAACAACATCAGCTGTGGCAAGGTTAATACCCAGACCACCTGCTCTGGTTGAGAGCAGGAAAATAAACTTCTCACTTCCTGGCTGATTGAAGGCATCAATGGAAGCATCACGGTCCTCCCCACCAGTATTGCCATCAATTCGGCAATACATATACCCACGATACATTAAATAATCTTCTAAAATATCCAACAGCCGAGTCATCTATACATCAGAAAAATCATTGTCAAGGGCAAGAAATCTTCATTTGATCCAAAATAGGCAAAGGGAATGAGCATAACAATAAACATATCTAACAGTCTAAAAGACATTTAGAACGATTAACATAACAATCTTAATGAGTCTCATGCTTGCTTATGTAGAAAAGACACCCCAAAAGATGGAGAATCTTCATTGTAAACATATTGACATACCATAAAGAGGTAGTTCAAACAAGACGAATATGCTTGTAAAGGAAAAATCTTCCAAAACTATTAACCAAAAGGTGCTCAATTTATCATACAGACCAGTGTTTTGAAACGCAGAAGTGGGTTTCAAACTGGTTCAAATCGGCAATATGGACTTGTTCAGCAGGTATAATCATCATACTGATACAACTAAAAAAAGTACCAAAAACTGGGAAATCAGGCAATTTAGGGATTCCCAAGAAAGGATCCCCCCACCACCACCACCCACCCCCCACTACCACCCCAGGCAATTATGGTTTGAAAGTCCAGGTTTTAAAACACTGGTATAGACCATCTCACAAGAAGCAAAATTAGATTGATCACTAAACCTATGTTTTAGAAAAGACCAAGATTACTCCAAACGAAGTTGGAAGAATGATTTGAAGTCCAGGTTTATATTATACATGGAAAACCATAAACTGCGCAACAATCCTGTAGGAATCAAACCTACTGAAAGAGTATAGCTTACACGCTTCAAGTCATTCACTTGTATTTCTACCTAGGTGTTTCCCAAACACCCAACAGCACTATAGGTGATTATCCATATGTTCCAACAGCCTATCATAATCAAATACTATCCAACAGCTAGCAGGATCCAACTTCTACGCTTGACATTAGATTTTAGAGTTAGTCTTTTATGGTTATTAGAATTTTGTAGTTAGTCCTGTACTCCTAAAATAGACTTCATTTCTACAAGATCATTCCACATGTGAAAAATATAACCTGCTACATAGCATTCATGATATGTAAGGCATGTCAGATTTGGTAAAACTAACATTCTGGTTATTTAATTCCTATTATATGCCTACCAGAGCCATTTATGACAGCTTTTTTAAGTAATGCCATTTGCCAGCTACCTGGTCCCAAAAGGCTAACAAACTAATTGCTCATTATTGCCATCACTTCAATACAAGTTTCCATTTTTTATTTGATTGATTAAATAAACAGAAAGTCATAAACTGATAATATCATTTGCAGATTCTGTGACGTCACTTAGAAAGGAACGCCACGACGCAAATCTCACCATCATTAAGACCACAAATTTAACCATAAGCCAGATGCTATTAAATTTCACCAAGTGATAACACTAGAGCATGCTTACCTGTGAAAATATTAGAACTCTGGAATCTCGCTCTTTTAGTTTCGGAAGCAATTTGTCCAAAAGAACCATCTTACCTGCAAAAAGATGAATACAAATAGATGTTAGAAACCTGGAAAGCAATTTATATTCACCAAGATGAGGAGGTAAGGCTTACCGGCATTTGTTATTAGATGATCGCCTGTTGTATAGGGAGGACCCGGTTCAGCACCTTGGAAAAGATATGGGTGATTACAGCATTTTCGCAATTGCATAGCAATATTCAAAAGGCGCCTGCGCTCCCCACCAGCATTAACTACTTCTAAATCTTTCTGAAGCAAAGCCTTGTAATATTGCTTTTGTAATTGGGACATGCCAACTTTGAGTATTGTTTCCTTTTTAGGTGGCAAGCCTTTTTCAACATCAGATTTCAACCTTCGGAGAAGAAATGGACGAAGGACCTTTAAGTCCATGAAAATGAACACAAACAAAATTTATGATTCAGTTTCATTTAAGCAGAATGAAATCACTGCAGATAATACAAATAGTTTAGTATTATACCTTATGAAGCTGCTGAACAACCTCCTGCTGATCATTATCGCCCGAAATTTGAAACCATTCATCAAATGTGTCAGCAGAGCTAAATATCTCGGGAAGAAGAAAATTGAGGAGTGACCAGAGCTCATGTAGGTTATTCTGCATAACAAAGAACACAATGTCATAACATTATGAGCAAAAGCTGTGCCTTAATTACCTATTACAATAATGATGATGACGAATTGTTGTGGATAATTACATCTTAAAACTGCAATTTGGAGACAAAGAATGACCACTTACAGTCATGACAGAGAAGCTGCATGACAAGTAAATGTATGCAATAAAACACCAATAAAATGTGATGATTTTCAGTTTCAAGAAAGGCTAGGATCCCAGTGAAGTCCATAGCGTTCCAAAAAAAGGAAAGAAGAGAGAGAGAACCAGTATGTTGCTTTGCTCGCTACATATGCAAATGCCGAACTAGAATAGCATGTTACCTGAAGAGGAGTCCCCGTTATAAGTAGACGGTAATTGGTGTTGTAAAGTCTCATTGTTTTAGAGAGAAGAGAATTCTCATTCTTTATCCGATGAGCCTCATCAATTATAACATAGCGCCAACTGAAACGGCGCAATGCTGTTTTTTCTTTAATTGCCATTTCAAAACTTGTGACACATATGTCAAACTTTCCAGCCGCCAACAAATTCTCACGTATATGCTTCTGCAGAAGTCAAAACAATAAATTAACCATTAGGTACCATAAAAATCAGAACACTCTTGAAACAATAGAAAAAGAACAGTAGAACATCTGACAGTTTGGTGGTAACTGACCCTTTCTTCTGGATTGCCAAGAAATTTCACAGCACGTAAAATCGGGCAAAAGCGACGAATTTCCTTCATCCAGTTTCCAAGAGTTGATTTTGGGGCTACCACCATGTGAGGACCAGTGATTCCTCTGAACTCATGTAAATAACCCAATAGAGAGATAGTTTGCAAGGTTTTTCCGAGACCCTAAAAGAATCAAAGGGTTAATACCAGCCACAACACGGCAGAAAAGGAACTGCAAACCCACTTAAGTAAACAACCAACAGTATATGCTTTAAAGCACTCACAGTAGGGCACTTTACGGAGTGAGGCCAAAAACCAAATGAATAAGTAAATATAGATAGTTCATTTCAAAAGCCAATTTTTAGAAAAAATGAAATGCTGCCCAACAGGAGGAAGTTCCACTATTTGCCCAACTGAAACACCAAGATCAAATTGGAGACAATCACCGTGATAGCATAAAGATTTTTGAAGAAGTATATATCCATTTACATTGCTTAACAAAAGCATGGATGGTCTGAATGAACTCAAGTTGCATATTCAGCCAAAATAAAAAACAACCACACAGATGCCAAGCAAATATCACCCAAAAAGTAAAATGGAGGCATACCAAGAAATTAAACAAAACTCTCGTTGGGGAAATCCATATAACCTTGAAATCACATTATCTTAAGCCAAGCATTAGAAAGAATCAACTCATATAAACATTATCAAGATGGAATGTTCCTTATGTCATTAGGTTAGAGTCCATAAACATAACATTGTCATTGTCGTACTAACCATGAAGTTAACAATTATACCTCAGATTTTTTTTTTGGGGGTAATTCAGTGGGGAAGACAGCCCCCTACCCATTTTTTGAATAGATTTTTGGTTTAGCTTTTGTGCAAGCTCAAGAAGTTAGAGCTCATCACACACCACCCAAACATGATCAACATCATTAATATCAATATTCAAAGTTCATGCTTCAAGCAACAAGCTCAATACTAAGCTAGTTTGAGTTCCAGTTGTGATCATGAGATGAGCCAAAAAAGAGGGGGAAATGGTGATGGAATTCTTCAAAGGTAAGCAGGCAAGCAAGAGTAGACTAGCCAATCCAAGGGAGTGTTGGGCAAGGGTGGCATTTTCCATTGAACTGGGTCTGTGGTACTTGTCTTTGTTTATTCAAAAGTCAGCGATATTTGTCTTTTTGGATGGATCCTACATGCCAGGGAGAGGAAGCTAACGACTCATAACTGATTGCAGGAAATGTTAATGGTTCACAACTTCATATTCAGTTGATACTTTCCTCAGTTCCGCCATTTCACTCAACTAGGGAAGACGCATCCATCCCATTAATCAGCTACGGCGACAGCTCCACCGCCGCATCCGAGACAGAGGAGAAAATTCAAATTACAGACAAGGACAATCTCACAAACAAACTGTTGGAAATGAAACGAAGCACTCATTCCCTTTATTATAACAACATACTGTAAATGACTACTTATAAATGGACTTTCGGGGTGAGTTCCAATGCACAACATAGCACATGCGACAAAAAGAAAGAAACCCAAATACAAAAGCAAGAAAAAAAAACAATAGTTTCCAACGCATACTTCTCTGCTAAATGCAACTCTTGCATTATCAGTTTTCAGACAATTAACCACCAAAAGCTGTGAAAAGGAGGCCAAATACAGAAAAGAAGATTACAGATTCCAAAGGAAATAATATGTATGCATGTATAAATGCATATATATATATATATATATATATATATATATAAAACAAGGCAGAAGCCCACTGCATACCATTTCATCAGCAAGAATCCCGTTAATACCATTCTCGTACAAACGTATCAACCAATTCAGTCCAGCTAGTTGGTAATCTCTCATCTTGCCTTGAATACCTGAACAATGCGTAAAATACGTGATAAGTACCATGCCCAGCATAGGTCGCATCATAGCCCATGCAAACAACCATAAAGAGTGTATTGCCCAAAAATAAGTATATCAAACATTTTTTTTCACAAATATATATGAAATTTAGAGGTTTCCTCATCCACCAACAGTCAATCCCAAAAACAACAAGAGCCAAGCTCAGTGGTTCCTTTTTTCACTAATTCAGTAGCTTTACTAAGTGTGTTTAAACAGAAAGTTGGAAATAAACACATGGGCCTACCCTTTCATCCCATATAATATTACAGAATTCACAACACACCCACAACAGAAATATAACATTGCCGCATACAAAAGGTATCTCATAGGTATCTCATGCTAAGCAACTATAGAAGGACCCAAGCTGTCCAAAAATGGGCACTCTACTTCACAAACATACAATGATATTCTGAAGGTCTGTTAAAAGCGGTATCTGCACAATGAAGGAAAAGAAAAGAAATAAAAAATAATGATTCCTATCAGAACATTGGTCACAATTATAGAATGGCAGGAGGGAAAGTCACATCACAAGAAACTGGCATATTCAATCAAAGAAACTGAAGGATGATGAAATTTTAAATGAGATTTGGCCATGGTCAATGATCCCCAAGTAAATAATGGAAAACTAACTCTCAGCCCACTCCCTCACATGCATTCCAGGTGCATTTTCAGCAACTAAGGATTGACACATATGAGGACATGGACAGCATATGCAAATATTAACAAAAAAAACTTAAAAATATTAGATGCAACTTGCAAATATAAAGTGTAAAAAATCATGTTTTTGTGAGAAAACATTCATTACAAATTAAAATGATTCACCATAATCTAGAAGATAAAGGAACATGAAATATTACTGAGTGGCAAAATTGACACCAGCAGAACAAAGCAAGAGCAGTTCACAAAAATTCTCTTCAAACACGCATCTCATGATTTAAATACAAGTACATCTGTAGAAGATTCCACGATGAGAATTGCAGCGTGCCAGAAAATAAATGGGAGAAGAAAACTTCTCAAGTTTTTTAAAAATTTTGACTAGTAAATTGAAAAAATAAATGCAACTAGACAACTATTATAGTAAGAAGCGTGGAGTCAATAAATAACGTGGTTGTTGTGCAGCATATGAAAGATAATTATTGCCCAGTAAGAAAACAAAGAGCATGAGGCAAGGCATCGGAATTAAGCCATCTAACTTATTTGTACATTTCATAGAATAAATTGTGGAATGTGGTAAAGAATTGGAAGAGGCCAAAATTTATAAACCACAAAGAAAAAATCATACAAGATGGCTGTGCCATTAGCCGTGTACTTCCAGAACCAGCTAAAGCATCCTCTTCCTCCTTTAGACATTCCTCATCCTCCTCCTCTTCAGTTACTTTAGAAGCATGGCGGCCCCTGCCAGATCCATCACACAAAATCATCCAGAAATGTATAAAACCACTAAGCATAAAACCTTGGACATTGTTCAAAAAAGCAAACCGCCCAGCGCCTCGGCACGCCCAAGCCTAGGCGGCCAAACTGGGTGACAATCCCTTGGCAGCCGCCCAGGGCCTGCGCCCCACCTAAGGGGGAAAATTATTATTATTTTCGTTGTATTGATTTTTTAAAACATAAAGGGTTTCAAGGATAGGTTTTAGGTTCATTTGAAACCTAAACCCACAAGAACACATTTTAGAAAGAAAGAAACCTCAAGAAAACTAAATTTTGTGAATTTCATTGGATCGAAGTGTTTTCAAAGTTACGGAAAACAGATCCAAACATCACCTAAGTAAATTTGATTTAGTATTGGAGTTTTATAATCCTATTAGAGGGTGTTTTTATTATTATAGCACCAAAAAACATCTTAGAGGTGGGAGTTTGGAGTTCAAGCAATCAAAATAAGTGCAAAACTTTATTTTTTAGATTGCTTATTTTATTTTGAAATATTTTCTTCAGGATCTAGTCAAAATGGAGATCCGAGTTCGAAAAATGGATATAACCCAAATCCAAATGACAAAAATTGCACTAGATGCAATTTTTGCAAAAAAGATACAAAAAGGGGATATTGCCCCTTGTAAAAATGTTCCTGAAGCTATCAGAGAGGAGCTTAAACAATATATGAGTTCTGTTAAACAAAAACAGGAGCAAAATCCTTATCATTTGAATAGATCTATTTCTGCTACTTTTAAAAGAAGTGATCCGGGTTGGAAGTATGGTTATAATCCAAAACAAGACAATAAAAATTGTATAAAGTGTAATTTTTGTGAAAAAGATACCAATGGGGATATTAACCGATTCAAAAAACACATTGCTAGTATTAAAGGGAATATTGCTTCTTGTAAAAAAGTTCTTGAAACTATTCGAGATGAGATTAGGCAACTTCTGAATTTAAAAGAACCAAAAAATGATGAAAATGAACCTTGTTCTATGGAAATATCTTCTCCAGGTTCTTTTAGAAGTGGTGATCCCAATTGGAAGTATGGTTATAACCCGAATCAGAATGAAAAAAATCATATTAAATGTAATTATTATGGAAAGGATACTAATAGGGGCATTTACAAGTTTAAAAAACACCTTGACGGTATTAAAGGGGATGTTGTCCCGTGTAAAAATGTTCCTGAGACTACCAAGGAGGAAATTGTACAATATTTGAATTCAGGGAAGCACAAAAAGATAAAAAATGGTAGAGAGCCAAGATTCCTAGGGCCTCATCTACACATACAAATAAGAGGGAAGTAAAAGAAGAGGAAGAGGAAGACGCAAATTCAGAAGAAACAGAGGAGGAAAAGGGTTATATTGAAGAGAGATATGACTCTGATGATAATGGCCTTGAATCTGATGCATATGATGAAGTTTACCCCATTCCTTCTGATGACAATGATGATGATGATGACTGAAGACTCTTGGTGTTGACTGTTGACTATTGTATCCTAGATTGTATATTTTCTGAATTTTGTATATTTTTTTTTTAGTTTCTACTTTCTAGTTTCTAGTTTCTAGTTCTATTATCTAACTTTTGTGCGTACAATCTACAGTGTATCAAACTATCAGTGTATGCTTGTATGGTTTTACTTTTTTAGCATTCTATGAAAATATGAATTATGGTCATATGGATTACCAAAATTCTCTTCTCGACTTCTATCTTCTTCTTTTTTTTAAACTGGGATTATAGTCTTATGGACTATCAAAATTCTTATGGATTATCAAATTCTTATGGATTAATCATTATCAATCATCAGTTTTTTTTTTTTTCAACTGGCTAGGCGGCCGCCTAGGCGCTGGGCGGCCTGGACCCTCATGGCCGCCTGAGTGCTACCTAGCGCTTTTTGAAACACTGACATTGAATGTAATAAATTTAACCATACCAAAATTCTTACACAAATTTTCAACCACAAAACACCTGGCTAACACTTTGTTTAATGAATATCAAGGAAAACTCAATTTTAGCACAGGAAAATTAGTTGTAGAAGAAAATAGTGATGACCTTTTGGTTCCTTTCACTCATGTATTTTAGCTACACAAAATCACCTGATGATGCCTTGCAATTGACAAAAACAAAATCATACAAACAAAAGAAATTACCTGCCCCTTGGTTTTTTTTCTGCAGCAGATTGAGCACCTCTGGCAAAATGAGCAAATATCTCCGTCTGTTGTAGAAGATATTTCAAACGGCCCTTCCCTTTGTTGTTCTGAAAAGAGTGCAGAAAAAATGAATTATCAGTATGAATTGAGGTTCAAATAAAGCAATTCTAAGAATCACTTCTAACTACAAAAACTAATTTAGTTTTCATACATGGTGATAAAACACCCAAGAAGAATAAAAACATACCATGTCAGCATCTATGGCTGCATTCTGTGCATCAAGAATTTCTTGGACCTTTTGTTTCTTACGCTTTTGCATTTCACGCAACCTGGCCCTTTCGCGCTTTCCCATTTCAGCATTTGATGATGGTTCACCCTACAACAGTGAGAACACCCCAATATAACAACCAATATAACCATATCTTATTCAGATTTTCTCTTTCAGTAAGTTTGTCAATATGCTATCAAGAAGGCTATCAATCAGAACCAACAATGAAAACAAAGAGGTGACTTTTCAGATAATTAATGCACCCAAAAAAGAGCATAGAATTATTAACAACTCTTAAAAAGGAAGACACTGAAAATAACTAAACCAATCTGCTGAACTATTAATTGCACATTTGTCAAAATAACACTAATTATGTGTTTTCAATTAATGTAACAAATGGGAATGACAACGGAATAACAACAGCCAGTTCTAGAGTTAACAGAAAAGAATTCTCCAAATTTAAAGAAAGTCCAACAATGACAAGACAACAATGATTCAATATATTAAGAAATAACATCTGCAAACCAATTACAACTGAAAAATGAGAGGGAATAATAAAAGCAAGGAGCTCAAGACTTCCTGCACAAGGTTATCCGCATACAAAGCGGCACCTATATTGTTTCACAAATGGACAATAGAACATTTGCACAAACACTAATCAATAGCCATAATGTCTATGAAACCCCAATCACACACTCAAAAACCATACCAAACACACAACAAAAGGTTAAGCCCATAAAACATTGTCCATCACTTCACAAATTGCGCCAGCAAGCAAGTGGAAAACCCTAGTTGCCACAGAAAACACCAACAAAACCTAAAAAGAAAAAAAAATTAAACCATAACATAGAGAAACTTAGGCCACCAAGAACTGTGGTAGAACAAAAATTCCATCGCCCCTTGGCATAACTCAGGACAATAAACAATTCAGATCCAGCTTCTACAAAACCAAAAACCATCTATACTATCCTCTGCATTCCCTAACGACCAAAAAGTCCTCCATAATTCAAATAAAATAGAAACTAATAGAGAGAGAAAAGCAAATAGCAAATCACAAAGATTTCAAAGGCTTAAAATTCTCTGAAAACTACCTCTTCCACTTCATCGTCTCCCTCAGCTCCATCTGGCAATGGAGAATCATCATCATCATCATCAGAACCAGCTTCTCTTGCTACTGCTTCGATTTCTTCTTCATCATCTGAGTTAGTTTGTTGCTCTTCTTCTTCCTCTTCTCCTGTAGAAGAACCAGATCCGTTTGAAAGGGGATCCTCCGAGCGCGACATGAATGCACAAAAATGGATGCCCTAGCCCTAGAATTGCAGACTGAGGGAGAGACGAGAATAAAATGAAGCGAAGTTTTTGGAGGGGAAATCACGAAGGGGGGGGGGGAATTTTTTGTGCCTGTAAATAAATATATCGGAAGAAAAGGCAGAGATATAAATGACGAAAATGCCCCACAAATGAAAAGACAGTAGTGATGCATATCTTTGATAAAATGACAAAGAGAGCCCTGGTTTTTTAGCCTCCCAGTAGAGGTTAAGGAAATTGTCGCCAAAATTTTGGAAGAATCCCATCTCTATACCCTCTTAATTTTGTAAATGGCAAAATGCGCTAGGTATTTAGTCAGTGAATGCCTTAGGCTTTCTAATGAAATTAAAGCAGTACTTAAAGCTCTCACCAAAAATTGTAGTTCTAGTGATAGAGGGCTCTCAATTTGATCATCTCAAACTTGATGATCGTGAGTTTGAAAAAGGAAAAGACAAACAATTAATTCTACAAATAGAATATCATGTAAGAGATTGCATGATCCATTCATTTTTAAGTGTTCATAAATTTGCTAGATTTATATAATTTTTGAAATTTTAAATTTCATAATTAAGGTTTGAACTAGATTTGAAACCATTATAGAGATTTTTGGCATTGAAGATTGACATTCAACTTTATTCTTATTAGGTACAAAGTAGGCTCAATATTCGACCGGCTTGTACCACTAACATCTCAAGGTTGATTCCCATTGCTAAATTGCCCATTAAAAAAAAGAGCCTAGGCCTTGCATTAATTGATTTAGTGTGAGGATGTCCTTAAAGGGATAAAAAAATGTCTAAATGGAGAACTTTAGCCCCAATAGAGGAGCGCCGAATTTGTAAAAAAAGTAAGAAACCCCCATCTAGTTATTTATGTTATTTTTGTCATTTGAATATAGTAGTTTGTCATTTTAACATATGTGGGGTAATAAAATTTATTAATACGAAGTTGACCAACATGCCCTTCGAAATGGCGTTAACGAGTTAACCTCCGTTTCCCGCCTAGCAACCCACAAAGGTTTTCGACAATTTTGAGGTATTTTGGGTCATTAACACAAAACGCGGGGCTATTTTAGTTCTTTGCTCACCCAGAAGGTCGGTAAGTTCTGTTAACTAACGACAGAAATGGAAATGCCCAAAACACCTCTATTCAAATAGTAGATTACCACAACCTTTGAAAGAATTGACCAGAAGGTCCTGTTTCTAAGTCGAAAAGCAATCGGAATAATTCCGCTCGTAGTACCGTTATGAAATAGAATCCGTTGGGTAAATAACGATGTAGTCTTTTGTAATTTCGGTAAAGGCAAGGCCTTTTTAGTCATTCTTGCTTGCACGTAACGAATGAGTACGCGGGTGTACAAGACGTTCCCGCCACTTTTGGCCGATAGTTCCCGCCTAATTTTGGCGTTCAAATGGGAATTCTGACGTGGAATCACCAAGCACCCGAATTTCGGTTTGTTCCTGTTAATTTTCAGGCAATATTTTGTTTAGGTTCTGGCAATATTATTAAGCTATTTATAAATGGAAACAAACCTGAAAATGAACGGTTTGGATTTACCACTAGATTTCTGCCATTTAGAAGCTCGTTCTCCCAAGTTTAGTGACAAAACTCTAGTGTATGATTTTCCATCATTGTTAGTGATCCAATAATAGGAAGGGATTTTTTGAATAAATGAAAAATTAAGATGCTGCGGGGTGGAAATGAGAGAATGTCTACATGGATTTAGTCAAATACAATTAGAGGGATTCTATAGATTCGTTGATTAGGGCTTGGCAGAAGGAGGAGCATTTTAAGAAATTTTCCAATGCTACCCAGATGGGAAATTCAGTTAGTTCAAATGCATTTTAATGCATTAAAAAGGCCTGCCATAACGGATTCGGTATGCTCCTTATTTTGATTTTAATTGTTTTATCCAAAAGAATGGGCTGGTCAACACAGTAGGATGCCATGAGGTAATGTCTTGAGTTCTATTTCAGACAAAATACACCTTCCCCATTGAATTACCAAAAAATAAAATATAAAAAAATTATGAAAAATATTTTTAAAATGAATTGGGGTGGTGGTTGTAGCACCTGAGTCCCAGCTAGAGTCCAGGCTTGTTATTTTCTTTTTTACTTTATTTTCCTAAAACCAGTCCAAACAATTAAACCAGCAGCCAGACCCGTCTAACAAGACCAGCTAGCTGGTCAGATTCAAGTATCGCTATTTCAAAGTACTTCATCTTCACAACGTTTAACAAAGTCACATAAAGGATACCAAATCCTCTCAAGCCCACCCTTGAAAAAACGCTGCAAGACCCGTTATAACAACTTAATGCACACTGCACTATCAAGCCTAGCTTCAGCAAATGATGAAACACCCGTTATAACAGCATAACTTCTGCATCACCCGTTTTCTATATCTTCATATCTAGTTCCGAAAGTATAAATCTAACAAGGGGGGAAGCGGGCCATACTTTTCCTTTGGCTGAGAAATTCAATTACAAGGAGAGGCATTGGCTTGCACAACTATACAGAACCCTTCTTCTTAAAGACAGTAACTGAAGGCCTTTCAGCAAGAACATATTTACAGATGATTTTCGAAAGAGAAGAATACATGAATTCTCCACCAAACATGGAGAGAGAGAGAGGCAGGCACCATCCTTACCCACCATTCTAAATAGGGCTGGACAGAAGACCACTCTTTGGCGTCTTCAATTTCAACACTGATGAAACAGGATCCCTCGACAATACGAAACCAGGCCTAAGATCTGTGGTGTTGGTTTGGATCATTTGTCCATCCATCACAAAGCCACAAGAGTTCCATGTGTCAGCACTTAGATGAACTCCAAAGTACATCAAATGATCCAAGACGCTATTGCCAGTCACTGATCTGCAGGGGTTAAAGAAGAATGGCAAGTCAGAAGCAGATGTCTTAAAAGACATGGATGATCACAGACATTCTCTCTCTCTCTCTCTCTCTCTCTC